CAGCTCCACAAAACCGGCCGAAATTCGCACAGTGTATGGGCACCTTCAGGGTGGCTCCACTCTATGGAGGGGGGAACAGAGCCACCTTTGGACAGCAGCACTGTTACACTGTGGGGAGGGTAGTGTTAGATTCGATAGCAGATTTAGTTGGACTTGACTAAACAATTAAATCTGAACCCCCAGCTAACACTTTTTAAGCAGTTACATCAACTGCAGTACCGTTCCTATAATGAGGCAGCCTGACGTGGTTGCCTCATGCAGCATCTCATTAGGGGAGTGGCAGGTGTGGAGGGGGGCAGCGGCAGAGGTGCGGCCACAGTGTCCCAGGTTACTAAGAGCTCTTAGCAACCTGTGACGCTCTATCCGAATTGTCAATGGTTGGATTAGTGTATTACTTAATCAATAATATGTATTCTGCTATTCTCCCTGCTATTCTTGTTCTGTATTCTTTTTTTTGTGTACGCTGCACCTGTACAGTATCACCTGCTATTTTTTTTTTGTGTCTGTTTGTTTGCTAAATTGATGGTTTCAGGGTGTATGATATCTGGGCTGCAGCGCTGATTTATGGCATATACTTGTTTTTCCCACACTCGATTCAGCCTCTGAGTGTATTGTCCCCATGCGTGCGCTTTGCGATTACCGGAAGAGTGAGAGGTGTCTCCATGGTAATGGATAAGCAAAACAGATGAAAAAAGCACTCATCAATTCGTCACCAGCTTTACAGTAAGGAATGGGCTTTAAACAGTAAAATAGCAAAAAGTTTTCCTGGCACACTCACAAGCTAGCATGTAAAAAAATTTGTCTCACAAGACGTATATCCAATCCTCTGTTTTTAACCTTAGTGTGAGACAAGTTTTTTTTACATGCTAGCTTGTTAGTGTACCAGGAAAACTTTTTGCTATTTCCATGGTAATGGATGACGCGGATTGCCTGCGCCGGCGCAACGGGACTGGGGGTGGAGACTTATGCGGCTTTCCGCGATCTCCGTTGTAAATGTGGAGTTTTCTCTCTCTGCCTACTCGAGAGCTGCCTGCCCTTTACACGGCATCCTGAAACCTGATTTGGATCATCATACTATTAGGTATGATACACTATTTATGTTTACTATGTTTTCTTATTACATTTGTTTATTTACATTATGATACACGTCTTTCTGCCCTGAGAAAGAGACCCTGTGCGGTATCGAAACGTTGGCTCGTGTTATTGTGACGTCTTTGTCCAATAAATTGAACATGTTAAAATCATATCGCTGAGTGCTGGTGAACTCAAGTGTCGGGGAGCTGAGCGGGATGCTCTGGCTGATGTTCCACCGAGATCCTGGCAACCAGTGATGTCAGTGAGCAGGGCGGGACCAGACAGAGAGCCGCACACAGCATGGCTCTGCACTTCCTTTTTAAGGGACGGCCCTGATCAATAGTTTTTTTTTTTCTTTTGTGATAAAGGTTTTACATATATTAATAAAATCCAACCATTGTAAGCACCTCTATCATTGTTAAATTGCTTGTTTCAACTATCTGACACTTTTGCTGGATAGCTCAGTCTGAAAAATAACAAACATACTGGCCGGATAACCAGGTGAAAATAAAAGGTAAAAGGCCTAAAAAAAACAAATGAAAGCAGTCACCTCATCTAAGAATTGGAAAGGTGCAATATATTAATTTATTTGCTTTTGGTTAACATACACTTTAAGAAGAGTGTAGCCATCAGGCAAATCTGGCACTTGACTGTGCTGTCTGGTAAGGGTGTCTCGTTGCTAAAGCTGGCCATACACCTTAAGCTTTTTCTCATTCATCCCTGCAGATTGAATGAGAAAAATCACTTAATTCCCCTATAAACAGCGTGGCTGGAGGACTCTCCACTTGCCATCTATTGTATTCTGACAGCTGCGTGCATCTGCGGTTGTCAGAATATCTGAACAGTGACTAAAGTCAACGTTTGTCCGTCAATATTCCACCTGACTCCTTTGACAAAAGTCAGTGGAAAAAACGACTTTTACTGAGTCAGGCTGTGTCAGGCAGGGCCACTCACGGATATAGTTTTGGCCCATTCAGCAGTCCAAATATCGAGTGTATGGACAGTTTAAATAAAGATTAAGCTGGTGAGTTAGCTAACTGTAAACCCTCCAAACAGACATAAGTGAATGGCGTGCTTAGTATGCACAAGCATAGAAAAAATGAATACTTCTCTGTGTAATAGAGAATGTCAGAAGAACTTAAGGAGGAACTCCAGGAATGTAAAATGTTAACCCTTGCAGTGGTAGCTACACTGCACTGTAATGGTTAAGTGCACATTTTTCTCCTCAGGGTGGCTCAAATAAAAGAAATATACTCACCCAATCCTCCGTCCCACCTTGCTGCTAAAATGGTCCCTGCAGCCTCTTCTCCCCCGTGCCCCGGCGGTCTAAGCCCCACTGACGTCATCACGTCTAATACAGTCCATTCACTTGTATTAGAAGGGATGATGACGAGAGACATACCACAGCTGGAGTGGAGGGAGAGAGACGTGACTACTTACTGCCGCATGACTGAGGATCAGGTGAGACCAAAACGAGCAGTTAACCCTCGCAGCGTGGGAATAGTCCCGTTGCAAGGGTTAACTTTTTATCTACCTGGAGTTTTTCTTTAAAATTAACCAGGCTAGATGATTTTCTTTCATGTCGACATAAGAATACATTTCCTAAATGAGGAAGTCACATACGTGATGGAAAAGAGAACTGTTTTACTTGAAGGAAAAATAACAGATTACGCACTCAGTTTAAACATTTAATGACATAACATGTAATTATATAATGTTCGCTATATATATATGCAATATTCATGAATTTTGTATTATTTAATGATTGCAGTGCAGTGTGTCATAAAATACCACATTAAACTATATCTAAATGTAAGGCCCCATGAATACAGGGATTACTGTATTCTGGGATTCCTGCTGCAAGAACCTATGGATCTATTCTGAACCACATGCCATTGTACCCTGTACAGTTACATGGGGACTGCCGCTGACAGATGTGGCCACTGTCACCCTCTGCCACATCTGAATGGGGATAACCTGGCATTCCTGCCACAGAGAGCCTAAGGGTGTTTTGGGGGTGTCCCCCTCTGCTGACAAGATCACATTGACTCACTTTTGCGCAACTTTGTAAATTAGGAGACCCAGGTCCGAGGCGTAACTAGAAACCTCAGGGCTGTGGAGCATTGGCTTGCTGGGAGCTGTAGTTCCAGGAGGCAATGTCGGGGTGCCTCGGTGGTTACTGTGGTGGACCCTCTTCTTCCTTCCTTTCTTCCTTCTAATTCCACTTTATATACTGTTGGAATAACTTTTAAAAGAGACTTTGTTGTGCTGTATGGAAACTAATTTGTGGAGCTGCACATGTGATCTGGATCACAACACATTGCACATGCAGTTTTGAGATTGTATTGACTTTAACCATTGGGGATGTCACATATTGTGTTGGGATTATCACTAAGCACTTTAATGTTCATGTATAAGTTTTAGATTTTTTTAGCGCAGTGACTTTGTCTTGAGATTTCAGAGAATGAGGATTCACTTGTTTTCACTGCTGGCAAATTATATTGAAAGAAAACACCAAAAGCACAGATTTTACACATAATTTAAATTTAATGTTAGCTTACAAATACAGAGCAAAGCAAGTCTATCCATACCAGTGATGCTGCCTTAAGGGATTTGAGCATTTTCCTCTAGATGTGTTTAGGATGGCATTGGATTCTGTTTTAAGAAGGAGGCTGAACTCCTGCTCTCTGAGCAGAAGGGTGCTGCGAGTTTACCATAGAAAAAAAGTCTGTGCTACTGTAAAGAGAGATGTTCAGTACAATCTTTGGCCAATTTTGATATGGCGGGTAGGCAAGTCTATAATTTCCTGCCAGTCAAGGCAGAACAATTGAAGTCATCATATCTAGGACTACAGTGTGCATACTGGTGAGACCTTTCTGAAATAGGAATGTACATGCCAGTCTTATACTCACCTATCCCGGTAAGAAGTCTCTGACAAGATTGCAGAGCTGCATGTCAAAAGCTGGGCCCATACATCCAATGTTAGCTCTTCATTTAATCCTATAGGGACCTTGCTCTGCCAGAAAGTTGAGTAGAAATTCTCCATAGGATTGAATGGAGAATGCACATCACATAGGCCTAGCTCAGAAGATTTTGACAAACAGCTATGCCACCTCAAAGGTGATATCTCGCTGGATGGGCGTGAGTGATATGATGATTGGTGATACTTAGAGCCAATGTGGGACACTGCAGCTCTCACAATCCATAGATCAATTATGTAACTTTAGTCATTCATGACAATCCTCAGATCAATTATGTAACTTTAGTCATTCATAACTAAAGGCTGGAGTCATTCTGCACCTGCACTGCTGCTTCCTAGTGAATAATTAATTCAGGGCCGTGTGGGAAATGTTAACAAAGTAGGCAGCGGTGCAGGGCACTGTCCATTCATGTGTTACACATGTAAACATTTGCTCATACCTTTACATGCATGCCATGTAAAATACAGTCAAATTTGGACCATGGACTCAGACTTTTTTAGTTTAGGTCCATGCACCTCAAGTCTACAGGAGACACTCTGACCACCAACGCAGCTGTGTGCATGGGCCCTATAGCTAACAATACTGATATGTTCAGATCCATATAAAACTGTACACAGTAGAAATTTAACGTAACATTTTCTACACTCGTGTCCATGAGCCTTAATAGCATTGCTGGCAAGTGCATTGCTGGGAAATGCCTGTATCTGACAAGAATAAATGCATGCATAACAATGGAAATTATTTAAACATAAAAAAAGGATTTGGGGGAATTTCACTTCTTCTTAGTTTTTCTATGATGCAAATACCGGATATGAGAATTTCCTAGCCACGACACAAAAGCATGATGCAATCCAGCACTCACAACTAGTATATAAATAGATAAACAATACTCCAAGCTACTATCTGAACTAACTCATAGTAGGGAACATCACAGCTACTGTCATCATGGACAACAAGTGTACTATCCTCATCAGTCTTATCCTGTTATCTGCTGCTCTTACTCAAGGTATAGTCATTTGCATCACATATATATTTCTGCACTACTAAAGTAAAAAAGATTTAACTTACTGTATATACCTTTCTTTTATATGGTTTCCTTTTTTAAGCCATTTTGCTCATCTTTCTCTATTTAATCTTTTAAACAGGATTTTCAATATCTCGAGGGGATCGCTGCTTGTGCACCAAGCTAGCCAAGAGGCTCAATGTACTAGCGCTGGCAAAACTAGAGATCTTCCCAAGCAGCCCTGGCTGTGAAAAGTTTGAATACATGTAAGTAGCTGGCTGTTACTATTATTATAATTATTACTATAAAGCATGGTTGAGGACTTTTGCATAATTTGGAAAGTGAAGCTATTATCCATGGATCTAATAAACCAACCAGATTTAGGCTATCATGCCTTAAATTTTTGGAAATACAACAGCATACACTGATTTGTATTACTGACATTGAGATATAATATTATCTTTTGAGCTGTAGATTGTCAGTATAGTGCAATGTTAGTCTCTATGCTTATGCATGTTTATCTATGATACACAGGAAGTTCTCTCTGTATGCTGTATAATGCTGTATTCTGATATAATGTCCTTATAAGCAAGCAAAACTTAATTCAGCATTCCTCAAGATCTCAGTGCTTCATCTAAAAACATAACCAACACTTATTTCCCTTTGCTTCTGCATTATAAATGTGCCCCATGATTCACTTAGGGAGCATCTAAAAAACTATGAACAGCATTTATTAAAACATTATGCACGTGAAGATCATTGTGTATTACTTTGCTGCTGCTAATTGCTAAATGCAAAAAAAAAGTTGAGGGGTATAAAGTTAAGTAAAGTTTAAAAACCCTATGATTTTTACATATATTGAAAGTCTCCTTCTTGTCATTGATTTTCAGTGCTACTTTGAAAAACTCACCTACTCCAAAATGTGTGAGCCCCCACTTATTTGAAGTAAGGGTACTGCTGAGTGGAAAAAATCGGTGAGTATTTCTCTATTACAATGAAAAATGTTTGCAATTACTAATATCTTTAAAAGTGATGTACATGCTATGTACTTGCAAATGTGCAAATCTGGAGGTAGAGGGATGGTAAATTTGCCCCTTTCATGCATTATGAATAGCTCCCCTTGTATCACCTTCCTATGATAGGGTTTGTGCAGATCATGGTCTTCTGGGGCAGGGATACTAATGCTGTAAAATGTTGGCGAGAATTCAGAAGAATAGATATCCTTGATTAGTCTAGGGGTGGTTAGGTGATTGTTAGGTTCACTTTAGGGGTTAGCGAGGTTAAGTGCGAAGGGCTTGATTTAGGAATTATGTTATAGTTTAAGGGCCCACTTAAATGGTTGTGTTGGGGGGTTAATTGGTAAGGGCTCATTTTTGAAGTTTCCCAAACCTAACAATTTTTGTGGTTAGGTTTGGGAAAGTCAAATGATATAATATATATATATATATAATATGTAAAGCCAAAACTGTTTTTCCATTTTGGATAGAGTAAAACATGCTTTTTTTGCAATGTGTGGCTCATTAACTTCACTTCTTGTCCTGTACACTCAACAGGAAGTGAAAGGATATCTTTCCAATGTAAGGGAAACCCACCGTGGAAAGACTTCCTCTCTATTCCTGTTCTGGTGGCATGTAAACATAAAGAAATGTATAAATATATAATTAAAGCACAACATTTTTTTTATTTTATTTTGTGGACAGAA